TTCTAATATAGTCTCATAGTCAGAGTCAAATTGAAGCAGAATTAGAGTGAAGATAAACATTGATTTTAGACACTTAAAAGCTTTCTCAGTCTTGCTCATCCACAAAAAAGAAACATTCTTGCATGTAAGAATCATCAGTGAAGTTGTGATCTTTGAGAAATCCCTGATAAATCATCTATAGAAATTGACAAAGTCTAAAAATTCTTATACACCTTTAAGAGTAGTAGATGTCACTTATTTCAAAACAGCTTTAATCTTCTCTGGATTCATTTATATATCCTTGTCTGCTTCAATGATGAATTCAAGATATTTTGTGCTGTTCATCTTGAACTCATTCTTTCTGATGTCTGCCTGCAGGCCTGCTTCCTGTAGACATATAAGCATCTTTTGTACATGCTCATGATGCTCCTGTAAGCTTCTTGAGGAAAATATCAAGATGTCATATAAATAGACCAAGCAGAAGTCATCCAGATATCTATGTAATGGCCAGTTGATATATTTTTGAAATGTGCTCAGAGCATTGGCTACAAAGGATGTAATCAGTCACTCAAATAGCCTGTATCTGATTCTAAAGACTGTCATCCACTCATCACCTTCTGTGATTCAAATCTTGTGAAAAGCTGCAATAATATTCAACTTAGTGAATCATTTAGTCTGTCTAATTTACTGTAGAGTCTCACTGATTAATGATAGAGGATATCAATTCTTTTAAGTGATTTTATTAAGAGCTTGATAGTCTACACAGAATCTTAACCCATTCTCAGACTTCTTCATGAATAGTATGAGAGCAGCTGCAGGGGAGTTGCTCACTCTAATAACACTCTTATCTAGATAATCTATAAAAGTCTTTTACAAAGCCAGTAGTTCCTCTCAAAACATATTATATAACAGGTATCAAGAGGGTTGTTCTATGCTACCATCAGTCTTTTTAATCAGTTTAATCTCATGATCTCTACCTGGGTCATGAAGTGGGGGTAGAGTGTCAGTGGCTTCATTATCAAATACATTCAAAAACTCATGATAATGTTCAGGCAGCTTTTCTCTAGGGTCAATCTTTGATTTCACTTCTAGAGTCTTTTGAATGTCAGTCAAACTGACAGTGAAGATCTCAATGTTTCACTTCTCTCAAGTGCTCACAAGCTTAGAGAAGCTTACAGCAGAGATGGAAATCACATCAGCTTTTGCATTTGAACTAGACTCTACCTCTATACTACTCTCTTCAAATCTCATAATTCTTTGATGAGGGATCATGGTCACCTTTTGCTGGGTCAGCCAGAGGTCATCTAGATATATATCATAACTATGTAACTCATTCACCACATAGAGAAAGGCTCATTCAGTTACATGACCACCTATATCAATTTGAATATCAGTCACTATGCTCATAGAGAGTTCCATTGAGTCTTCAAAGCTGGTCATTTTAACAGAGAGAATTTCAATGCATGAGAGCTTATGCTTGTTAATGTAGGATTAAGAAATAAGATCATAGACATTACATTCACTGTCTATCATTGCTTTAATCAAAAAGACATTATTTACTAGAGTATCAACAATGAAAGGTTTAGATATCATCTTAGATTTAAATCTTCTCCATTGCTTTCTCATAAGCTTCTTATTTTGCTCCTTCTAGTGTCTTTTGATTGGAGCTACTCTTTTTCTAAATTCTCACTCATATCCATATTGTCATCATTCAGTACCAGCTTGAGGATCACCTTAGCTATCATAGAAGTGGCAGAGCATCTGAAAGGTTTGAACAGACAGCTCTTAATCATATGACCTTCAGCTTCACATCTCAGGCATAGACCTTGCTCTTTTTGTCAATTAACCTCTGTTTGATTTATCAATTTGATGTGGCAGGTGCTTGGAGTCACAGCACCAGGAGAGAGATTCATCAGATCATCAGTGAAAGCTTGAGACTGATTTCATCAGTCAAGGATAGCATGATGAAGTAGAGAGTATGAATTAGATGTTGTATGATCTGAAGAAGATCTGCTCTCACAACATTTAAATTACTGTCTTAAAGTCTTAAGCTCAGAGAGTTGATGATCAACTAATCTAAGCTCCTTGCAGTAATTTTCATAGAGAGATGATTTCCTTACACTCATCATGTCTTCTCTCAGCTCTATGTTTAGAGTGGATTTCAAATACTTCTTTTTAATGTGATCATCTCATCTGTGATCATCAGCTTCCAGCAGTAGCTGATTAAATTCAGGCAGAAAGTCAAAGAGAGCTCTTCTACTCTGTCATAGATTGTTGAGCTTTTGCATAGTCTTTTCCTATTATGCAGAATCACTAAAAAGTATGTGTATCTGCTTCAGTAAGCTCTCTATCATGAAGTTGATCTTGTTCTTATTATTCTCAACTCAGGGATAAACTTGAGCTGCTGCCATTCCTTTCAGTCTTGAGTACATATACTAAGCACATTCCTCATTATTATCTAAAGCTTTCCCATCAATCTTAAGTTTTGATTGAAGCTTTAGCTCTCACTGAGAGTAGTGCTTCAGATTAGAATCATCATACTTCTCACAGTCTGATAGCTTGATCTTTGATCTTCTGACTGCAATGAGTGATTGCAGATTCAATTGAGAGAGAGTTGATGTTGAGATGTTCAAAGCTTGTTATAGATTAGCTATTTCAGCTTGTTGAGCTGCTATTAAATTTCTATTCTCACACTGAACCTGTTCCTGCTGTTGGAGAAAAATCATTCAATGTTGTTCAAAGCTGCTGGAGGTATCCCTGCTTATTGCTTTGTGTTGATTCATTTGTTGTACAAGTCTGTCACTTTATCTCATTCAGCTTGATATTTTTAATTTTGCTTATTCATTTGTTAGCATGATTGCTAACCCAGTCTATTCATATACCAATGCTATCACTGAACTTCATGATGCAAGATTTAAGGCTCTTAATAACTTATCATATGTCAGCATATTTGCTGAGCTTTGTGATATAGGATTAAGACTCCCAGTGGCCTATCAATGAAAGGAGTGAAGCAATTCATAATATAAAGTGTTAAGCTCTAAGAATTAGAGGCTAGTCCTCTTATATAACAAGGATAAATTGCTTGAGAAAGGGAAGAAAAGAATGAGATAAGAACTTGAGCTTAAGCAAGCTCACGTAGCATAATCATGTGCGCACATGCAAACAATAGCTAGGCTGAGTCAGCCAGCCAGAGCAAATCTAGTGGTTCAACCCCTTATAAATCTTTTTGTATTTCCTGCACTTTTGTAGGAAAAATCACATTAGACATATCAATAATCTTATCAGAGGTAGGACTCCACACATGATAGATTGACTAGCTGTAGAATTCAATAAGTTTGCATAATTCAGTCTGAGCAGATAGTTTATCCATCAGCTTCTGCAATCTATGAAGGTGGATAAAAAACATCAGATTTAAGCTCACAGAAGTGGGTGATCTACAGTAGTGCATTCATCAATGCTGAAAAAGAAATTGTATGAGGACTATAGATAAGCTCCTTGCTGTCATCATTTATGATTGCAGATCAATACTTCTCATTATATAAGATTATAGATGTGAGTGTATTATTTATGATTGAAATAACTATTTCTAGAACATTCACTCAGAACTTCTTTGAAATTTCCTTTTCTATAATGATTGCTCTGGCTCGCGTCATAATGATGCAGATGCCACATTTAGATATGCTGTCTTGATGAGATGATTGAGGAGTAGTTGATTCCCACACTGTGCTGTCAGCAATCATTAACATTGTTATATTTTACAATTGAAAAACCTCATCTACATCTATTCTGATATAGGCAGGGGCTGAAAAACTGAGGTTCTTAATGAGCTTAACCTAATGAGAATAATAATCAAATGCTTGATCTTTACTACATAGGAAATAGATTTATCTGAATCACATCATGTCATCTGTGATTAATATGAGATATTTTGTACCTTAGTGAGATTCTATAAGATGATTGTCTGTATCACTCAATGTGCGGTCATCACCCACCAGATCAATATAGATCCATTCTATTAGCCTTACAGCCCGTGGCATGAGGATGATTGAGTATTTACACATCATACTTGCTTTGATGCAGGTGTTGCAAAAGAAACTAGTCTTGAGGCCCTTGATGTAGATACCAGATAGTGAATTCTTTGCCAAAGCTATAATGACTTCTATGTGTATATGCCTCAGGTCAACATGCCACTCAGCAAGCATTTTCATAGCTGTAGGTGATTTTTGAGATTGAGGTTGAGCATTGGTAGGATTGTTATTGCCAGTGATAGCCAAGGCCTTAGCATAATCATTATCATATATATGTGATTTTGCTGTGAAATAGATTACTTTTAACTCATAATGAGCATTAACTTCTGACATCCTTTTGACTATTTTATAAATTGAACTCTAAGCTATGTGAATTACAGTGAAAATAACACTATTGAGGGCCTTAATGATGAAGTAAGATAGGGTGTTTGAATTTAAAAGTTCATATCAAAAACCCTAGTCCTTTAACTTAGCAAAAGACAATAAGTTGACAATAAGATTTGAAATATAATGAACATCATGTATAGATATATCCCCTCTGTCAGATTCTAGAATGAGATTTTCAATCTCTTTGATATAATTATATTTGTCATCTGTTGTATGAACTTTGAGGTTGCTGTGATAGGTTTTTCATTGAATAATAGACTACTTTTCCCCTGTCATATGAAAACTTGCACACATGTCAAGAAACCAAGACTTGAAGATAATGCCAGTGATTGCTAACAGAGCAATTGCAGCATTGACAGCAGCAGATTGTGTCACTAGAAGATCAGAAGATTTGTTCTTTTTATCATTCTTATTCTTCTTTTTGCTCTTTCATTTATTGTGACTGCTGGTGTTGCTATTTTTCATGAACTTGACAATCTTATTCTTATTTGCCTCCCTCCACTCTTTAGTGGCAAGTTCAGAGTGTAATCATCAACAATAGTCCTTAATGTGCTGATTTGAGTGGCAGATCTTGCATTTAAAACTATTTGAAATAGCCTTATTGACTCATGAAGGTTTGAAGTATTCATTGGACTTGTTAATATAATTTGTTAAATGCTTCATGAGATCATCAATATCAATATTTTTAATATAGTCTTGGCCAGTCATGTAAAAATCATCCAAACATGTCTTGACAAAAGACTTTTGATGTTCTTTCAAATCAATAAGGAAAAGATCATGATAGAAGTTCTCTGAGTTGTTCATCAATTTCTTATGACATGTAACTAAGTAGCAGAATCTTTTTTGAAATGTCAAGTAATCATTGTTGATGTGTATGATAGTCAGCTCCTTCATGATATTGAGGTGTTCTTTCATCAAAGATATCACATATTCAACATCAATCTTTTTTCATAATGCAGCAGTATTGTCAGGTTCTAAAACTCTAATGATTGTATGTATAAGCCTCAATAAGAATTGTAACATATATCAATAGAGTGCTTTGATTCAAATATTTCATTTTTCAGCATTCAACATGTTTTGACTAATATCATCTGAGTAGATGTGTTGATTCTTGGTTAGAATATCAGTTCCATCAATGACTTCAGCATCTGCAAGAATTTTCATTTGCCAGATTTGGTAATTAGTATCATCAAATGTAGTTATCACCTTAGTATTCATAACTCTTTGAATATTCTTTTGATATTCATAGATCTAAGATTTGAAATCATCTGCAGATATATCATTGTTAATATTTGAAGTGTTCTGATGTGTCATTTGTTGGTAAAAAATCAACACATCTGCTACACTCATTGTAATCATGTCACTTGTGTTAGGAGTAAACATTTGAGACTGAGGGCTTGAGGTTCCTTCACTAGCTGCTGTGAATTTGCATATAGACTTGAGAGCAGATGTTTCATCAGACTCACAGCTTGATGAATTCATGATGTGATTTGAACTTGATTTCTGCTCCAGGCCTTCTAATTCTTTGTTCTTGTCTAGTGATGAGAACACTCTAACAGCTTTAGAATGTGATCATAAAGATTGCTTTCTCTCTGTTAAAGAGGTATATAGTCCAGTCATTAGATCAGAGAATAAACTCATTCAGACATGTACACAGCTGTTCTTAATATAATTTTTATTAAAAATCAGCTATCCAGGCTATAATCTATGAGATGGTTGAACCTTCTATTCAAAGGAGCTAGCTAGGTTATTGCTATATTACATACACGTGATCACGTGTGGGCGGGGTGGTCATTAGGGCAACGTCACCCAGGTGGGCGCTACTACAGTTTATAATCTGAATAATTTTTTATCTGCTGTTTATATATAGTTTTCAGAGATGAGAAGCAGTTAATATTCAATAACTGAAGAAGATAAAAGAAATATGACAGTATGTAGAGAACAATGATCTAATTCTCAGAATAAAATTGATCAAATTCAGCTGAGATATGATTTTAGTATTAGTTTAGAATCAATAGTCAATATCTGCTCTTCATATGAGATAGAATCTTCTTATTGAACATCTCTTTCAATTAGTATAAGCTCAGCTGATTAGTAATTTAGTCATTCTCACTGACTTCAATCACTCAGTTATATAATAATCCTTCTGTCTCATATTAGCAGAATTAATGTATTTTTTCTTTGAAAATAATTATTGTATGCTAAACTCAGTCAGTTGCATTGACTTTAGTCATAACAGTTATTTATTTCTAATCTTCAGACTGTATAAGCGTGAAATTCTCAACTTTTTCAGATTTAGTCATTATTCTGATAGTCTCAATTACACTTATCTGAAATTCTATCTCATAAAAGTTGTAAATATCATTTTTCAGAATTTCATATTTTATAATAGTATTTTATACAAGTTTAAATTACTCATAGATAATTTTAAAATTCTTATATAGAGTCTGCTGATGATCATACTTGCATAAGAACTTGAATTTCAGTTCATCATGATACTTGACAAAGTTTCATACTCAGCATTCACTTACTGTAAATGAGAAATTGAATTTTCAACTGATAAGAAGAAGATTAATCATTTCTTATATAGCTACAACTTAGAGAGATTGATCTTACTCATTTATGATTAGAATTTATTGAACAAGAGATTTTTTCTCTATAAGATTAAGTTTTTGATTCTTTGAGAATGTGTCAATATATGTCATATGATTATATATATAATAAATTAAAGTTGCATAAAAGACTTTATATAGCTTTGCTGCAGCTTATATACTTGAAATTTAATCATTTTTAAGTACTTGAATGACTAAAAGAAGTCTTTCTTCCTGAGTAAAGGCTTTATTGTTTTGTGTGATTGACATTTTTGATGCAGAGCATTTCTCATTTTATGAAGGATGAGAAGTGGTTCATTCACTTATATGGTTCACTCACTTATTGATTACATTAGTTGGTAAATGATTTACAATGTATTGTGACAGGTCTGGTATAGCTAGGATGGGGTCAGGTCACGTGGAGAGGTGGGCCAAGCCTTTTAGTGAGGTCGACTCATCTACATCCCTGTTGAGTGACTTGTAGCATTGAGTGACCAGTCACATTATTACATGATAGAATAAGTTTAATTGTTACTTAGCAGCTATTTCCCTGTGAATACAAAGGTTAAGGGTTGTGGTAATTGTGGCCACTGCGTGGCAGTTACAGTTTGTACCATCATTCATCCTCTACATAGTTACCTAAATATGAATACTTTTTCTATGTTCTTCTCTATCTGGGAAAAGTCTTATATTATCTCTTCTTTTGGTAATGACCCTGCCCGATCTCAGGGGAAAACGCATCTAGATATAGTTGCCCCCCCGCAAAAGCGGCTTCAGTGCAGAAAAGAGAAAATCGCCATCCTGGCATTCCCAATAGTTTCCCGAACATCAATTGTCAATTAATTCCCATTCCCATTCCCATTCCTCCAATTTATAATCTAGGTATAACATACATAACCTTATATCTGTCCCAATTGGCAAGCAGAGTATTAATCGTCTCTTTTAACCCATCAATTGCTTGTTTGGATTCGCTTCATTTCTGGCGTGATGGAGTGGGTTTAAGGGCCAAACTTTACCAGTCTCCCTCTCCCTTCTCACTTTCACTTCTCTCACTCACTCCAGCTCCCTGCGTCCATTTCATTTCCCCTTCATCTTCCTCCAGTATTAGTTGTTTCACTGTTCTGCAATTGCCTCTCTTGTTCTTTTACTTCTTCTACTTTTCCTCCTCGTTCTTTAAAATAAGAAAAGAATTTAGGTGTTTGCAACCATACACCTTTTATCTATTTACTGATCTCCAGTTAAACAGAGAACCCTTCTCTTCCATATCAGTTTTTGCCAACTTGTTCAAGTACTCTATCCATTGACTTTCGTAACATCACCACACACAAAGCTAACATCCCATGCGTGTCGAATCAACAGGTTTCAGTTCATTTTCATCTTCTCTTAAACCCAAATCCTATACCTGTCGATCTCAGCTCTTCGCCTATCTATCTCTCGCCTCCCCCCATAATATCTATATCATATATATAAAAATAACCTGTGGAACTTATCTTCCAGCCTAGCATGACTTCCCAACTGTCCGGACCCACCGCCAATGGAACCCCCATTGGGACCTTTAAGTCTCCAGCTGCCTTGCTCGAGGAGCAGCATACGCGGAGTGACCCTCACCAGGTCACCGTCGAGGATGTCCCGGATGAATATGATCTCCAGCACCCCTTGCCATCTGCGTCTGCGGCTGCTGGAACATGCCCTGGAGACACTGCAAAACCCGCCTCAGATGTCCCAGCTACCTCTGCACCCGCCAAAGAAAAGCCGTCCTCCGAAATGCCCGCTTCTTCGACCGTAAAGCCCCCTCCTCCGAAGGTTCCGGTTTTTGATGTGCGATCTGAGGAGCTGTTCCCGGCGTTGGGTGGAGCACCGAAGCCTCGAACTCCGGCTGCCCCTCCAATTGCTTGGGGTGCCCGGAAATCGGCCGGCAGGAATCCATCACCAGCCAACGGCCTGTCAAATCTCGGCCAGCCTCCATCCCATATCTCATCGAGTAACACTTCCTCGCGGACCTCGACCCCGACATCCGGGTTGGCCACTCCTGGATCCATGTCCATGAGCGCGGTCCAGCCTGGCTCCATTAGCGGTCCCAAGATTATGACATTGCCGGGCAAACACGTGGAGCGAATTCGCTTCGCTCCCTCACAGATGTTACCTCGTGGCCAGTTGAAAAAGCCCATCAGGGATATTCTGAGGGACACCAGCAAGCGCTCAAGGGCCATCGTCGATATGCACAATGGCCCAGGCGAATCGATTATCTTTGAAGGCAAGGGATCTGTGGAAGCCGTTCGTCAGGCACTTAAGGAAGTTGCCCAACAGGTCGGTTCTAAGGTATGTTTTTCTTGATACCAACCTTCCCCCCCCCCCTCCCAAAGCACATAACCGAAACTCCTCCTCCCTTTTCTCTTTACAAATGATACAAGGGTCTTTTTTTTTCTCCTGCCCTGACCAAAGGGAATCTAAAAAAACTTAAAGCAACGTGTGTCTGTACCCATTCCAGCTTCTGCGAGACCCCATATAATTGGCCGACAAGGCGCAGTTGTACAGGGCATCCATGACCGGACAGGTGCTCGAATCAATGTCCCTAAACCACAGGGGTCACTCTTTTCCGATGAGGACGACGATAGTGTTACGATCGACGTGGAAATTGAAGGAGACGCTGTTGCTGCAGAGATGGCAAGAAGAGAGATCGAGGCTATTGTAAAGGAGCGATCGTCGAACATAAATTTGCGACTGAAAAATATCCCCCCCGAGTTTTTCCCTTTTATTGCTGGCGCTCATAACGCGTATCTAACTGAGCTCGAAGAACGTACAAAGACGCAGATTCGAGTTCCCCGTTATGATACGTGGTCACGACCACCCCCCCCAGAGGCTGCTGCTGGCCAAGTCAAATTTTCCCCAGACCCAGACAGGCATATTCAAATTTCTGGTGAGCGAAGCGCCGCACAACAAGCCCGTGCTGAGATTGAGCAACGCGCGGAAGAACTACAGGGTCAAATTACTCTCCGACAACTGGCCATCAATCGCGGTCAACATCAGTTCATCTTGGGCGATCTTAATAATTCGTTGCATGAGTTCTTGGCTCAGACTGGCTGTTCAATAATCCTACCTCCTGCTAACGACGATACTGAATTTTTGACCATCACAGGCCCCCCTGACCAGATAGAATTTGGAGTCAATCGTGCAATGGATCTGGCTACTAGCATGCAAATGGCTAGTATTGATGTATCTAGACAGCATCCTGCAGCTCCTTCTGGGCCCCATGTGCATGCCCGGGCTCTCACCTCGTACCTGCAGCAGCGACAAGCCATCAAAGAGCTCGAAAGGTTATATGATGCCCATATCGTCATCCCCTCTTCCCTAGACGGGCCAGTGACTTGGGAGGTATATTCTCGAGATGGGAAAAATACTATTCGTGCCCGTTCCGATATAGTAAACTTGATCCAGGCCCATCCTCCATCCAAACTTGCATCTTTACTGATTGATCCATACTTTCACTCCTACCTTCGGTCTCGAATTGGACCTGAACTGAAGAACAGTTTTGGAGTACATCTGATTTTACCGGATGACCCAGATACATCAAACGTGGTGCTGGTGTACGAAGGCCAGGACTGGGTTGCTGGAGTACATGAACTGCCAAGACGCCGCCCATCAATTAGCGAACTCGCTCTTTTTGAAAACGCTCTGGCCGAGGCGAAATCACATCTTTTCACGTCATTGGGAGATCAAAACGACGTTTTGGCTAAATCAATTATGGTACCATTGAAGTATGTTTTCCCGCGCATCTTAACTTTCCGCACTTCAGTCTAACGTCATTTCTGTGATATATTTTGGCTCTTCTTTGTTTCCTCACTGATCATTTCATTTCAATTTTTTTGGCCAGATACCATGATAAACTCCGCAGATTTGTCGGCCGGGAACAGCAAAAAGAAGGTGAAGACCATATCCCCATCTGTGTTAGCGCTACCGGGGATGAGATACTGCTTCGTGGCCGTACGAGCGATGTCGAAGATCTCGCGTTGAAAATAAAAGCGTTTGTTCTGGAGCAGGAAAAAGATGATCTCGAAAGGGGTTACATAACGTCTTTTGCTTTCCCGCAAAAGTATGCAAATTTTCTGATTGGCAGAAGGGGCGAAAATATCAATAAACTCCGAGAGGAATTCGACGTCGACATCAAAGTGGAAAATGGCAAAGTCGATGTCAAGGGCCCTAAAGCCAAGGCTGATGTTTGTCGAAGTCGAATTATTGCATTGGCCAAAAGGTTGGAAGATGAGGCCACCTACATATTGAAAATTCCTCAACATTACCACCGTGATTTGATTGGGCAGAAGGGTAGCCAGGTGAACCGCCTGCAAGAACGTTATAATGTTCGCATCCAGTTCCCTCGTGCCTATAGCATCTCCGGGCCTGAGGACCAATCTGTCACTGACACCGCAAGCGAAATTGGAGGAAACCGAAATCCTCGTCCATCCCAAGCCCCTGATGAGGTCATCGTTCGCGGCCCGCGCAAGGGCGCAGACGGAGCTCGAGAGGAAATCTTAAGTCTTTACCAGTGGGTTGTTGACCATTCTCAGACAGATTTGGTGTCAGTCGCGCAAAGCCAAATCCCTTCGTTAATTGGCCAAAAGGGTCGCGAAATGGATCAACTTAGAGCTGAAACTGGAGCTCAGATCGATGTGCCTGCTGCCAACAATGCCCCCGATGCAGCCGGAAGGGTGGATATCAAGCTGAAGGGGACGAATAAACAGGTTGCAGATGCAAAAAAGCTGCTGCTTCAAAGAGCACAGGAGTTCGACTCAATCGTTGTCAAGACAATCGAAGTGGACAAAAAGCACCACAGGGCACTTATTGGTGGCGGGGGTACGTATACTGCTATCTACTTCTTCCATCTTAATTTTCTTAGCTAACCATTTCCTAGGTGCAACTATTCGTAAAATCGTTAGCGATGCTGGTGGCCCAAACGATGGCAGTGCGTCTAGGATAGTGAAATTCCCTCCTCCTGACAGTGACGAGACTGTTATTCGCTTGGAAGGAAACGCCGCAATTGTTGAAAGAATTGTGGCCGCCATCGAAGAGTTCGTTCGAGAAAAGGATGACCAGATCGTAACAGCGATTGACGTCCCCCTAACGCTGCATCGATTTCTAATCGGCCGAGGTGGAGAAACTCGACGGAATTTGGAGAGCCAATTCAAAATTACACTTGATGTTCCAAAGCAAGGGTCTGGTCGCATGGACATCAAAATAAAAGGGCCCAGCGGTGCAGTCGAGAAGGCAAAAGCTCATATACAGTCTCTAATCAGGGAGCAGCATGCCGAGAGCGTTCAGGTGCCGCGCAATTTGCATCATTCTGTCGCCGATAATGGCAGGCTATTCCGTAGGCTTCGGAATGAATACCAAGTCAGTATTGACCATGCTGGACATGAAATACCTCCACGCCCCCTTCTTTCGGACTCTCGCAATGGGGTTATCGACCCGGACCACTCCACTCCCCCTGGTTACAGATGATTCGTCAACAATTTCTGGTACACATTCTTGGAAAATTGTCGATGTCGCTACTGTCGAATCAACTGACGCAACATCTGCCAACACGATTCCGTGGGTGCTTTCCGGAACGCCAGAAAATGTGGCTAAGGCAAAGGCAATCATCGAAATGGCTCTTCAGACCGCATCGCGGCATTCCGCTACTGGATACCTCATCTTACCAGATCCGAAAACATATCGACTTGTTATTGGGCCGGGGGGAGATAAAATAAATGAGATTCGGAAACAAACGAGTTGTAGAATCAACGTGCCGAAGCACCAGACACAGGGTGAAGCTATCGAGATTAAAGGGCCAAAGGACAATCTGGAAGCAGCCAAGGACATGATCTTAGAGGCTGTAGCAGTTGGCACACGAGGCAATGGTGCCTCCCATTAATGGGCTTCATTGCCATCTTAACATATAACCTACACCTAGATTCAGAATTCGCAAAAGAACCAAAAGAAATAGTGTTTGGTTTTCAATGACGGAAAACTCTACAGTTTTGCATCCATTACCTTTGACCAATATATCGGAATTTGGAAAGTATTAATATATGATGTTAAATATTTTTGTATCAACACATATTCCTTTATATGGTTTTATCATTAATTCTTATCATTTTTGACATATGCAGTATCAGAGCTTAGCAAGTTAAATTTTCCATTTTATAAACTTTTAATTATTATTTTATTACTTTTCATAGTTATATGCTAATATTATTGACTCTGAGAAAACGAATCAGAATTATAAGTTAAATATCAAAAACTAAAGTAATCTAAAAGTCAAATAATACATAACTTTGTGTATATTCTTTGATATATTGAAGAGTATTTTTATAAGAAATATAGTAATTATTATCAAAAAATTCATTTACTTGATAATATTTTACCATTTATTTATGCAGAGTCTGAAAAATATATAGTTAAACTGAATAAGCTCTTCTATAATATTTTTATTATAAAACTGAGTATTATAAAAAGAAATATCTTAAAAGACTATCATATCAAGTATAATTATATAATAAAAAATTATTAATTATAGAAATAATTTACAAAATAATATATTAATAGAACTTTAAAAGAAAAGCTGAAAATATAAAAGTATTTCAATATGTTAAATACTTCAATCATATGATTTGCTTTTCATTATATACGTGGGACGTTTGGAGTAGTTGTATTGATAGCTGTCTTGAGGGTGTTATATACTACTGTGTGGTGCGCTAGTTCATAATAGAAAGTCTAGACTCTAACATCTCTTCTCAAACTAGCTACTGTATAATCTAGCTAATTGTATTGCTAGTCAAATTTCTCAAATCAATCATATTCATCTTATCTGTCAATTTATCTTATGTTTCACTTGCTGTATTCATGTTATGATTCAATTTAGAGTCAAGATAAAAGTTTCAATTCATCTATATAATTAAATAGCTATAATAAAAATATTAAACTGAGAATTAGAATATGAAATAAATATATAGTTGAATATAAAGAGATGATTAAGAATTGAAGTAAATCAACCTTCAGAGTGAAGATGATTGAAAATTGAAACAGATTAAACTTCAGAGCTGATCAATCTTAATTTATATATAAGCAGCTACATCATAATAATCTATGAAATGTATTTCTTATTTTATTTATAATCTGACTAGCTTTTTAAAAGTTTATTAATATTCAGAAAACTTGCTACAAAAGATATTTGACTAACTTAGAAAAAAATTTTTATTATTTTTATTTTTACTTTTATCTTTATTCTTAGTTTTATTTTTATCTTTATTTTTCAATATCTCAATATATTTATTATAATATTTTTATCATTCAAAACTTATGAAATTTAAATTTTAAATTAGTATTATTTAATAATATATATTATATTATTACAGTAATAACATTAATATTTATTAAATTATTCAATAACAGTATTTATAGTAGATGAAATGAGATAAGTAGTAGTGATAATGATTATTATTATTATTATTATTTATTATTTAAAATATATTTAATTAGTAATTATTAAATCTATATATACTATTGAGCCTCTATCACTAGCAAGCTTCACCTGTGACTGAAGGGTAAGGTTAAGCTGAACAGAAGTGCTGTAAGCTTGATAACTAGAACAGAGAATAGTGCCACTATCACAAGTAGTAAGAACATCAATTAGAGAATTCTTATAACCATGGCTTGGGGCAGGTGTGCATAGGACTTGAGTGAGACAGACACCTATGAGTAGAGAGTCAAAGCTATGACAGGTAAGAGTGTAGTGTAATATCAGGTAGATACTAATATTGACAATAAAGGGTGAAAGCTCTGAATGGGAAGTAGAATAGTATAAATAAGTGAATTGATCATGATCAAGAAGATAGGCCTCTTGATTCTAAGAGTAATGAGCATATTTATATACATGAGGAGACCTTCTGATAGATTCTATAGATCAATAGATGATTCACTACCTATTATATCAATCTATCAATCATGTGACCTTTTCCTGGGGTTAATCCTGGAACCTAAGGTTGTTCTGTCTGAAATCCTAGTTCTTTTATCATTTGCCATTCTTATCCAATGATTCTGAGGAATACCCTGTTAGTTCACAACAATATAGTTAAATTAAAACTTAATTATTTCATTAAAATAAATAATAAATGATACTTAAATCATATAGTTATTAAGTTTTATCTCAGAATAATATAGAATTTAATAAATTTTTAATAAAAGTTTATTTATCAATTTAAATAAAATAAATTAATTTAAATTAATATAAAAAAATATAATAAGATTAATATTAAATATATAATATATTTAAGAAATATAATAATATTTTAAATTCAATATTTTCAATTAATATAAATTGAATATTAACTTTATTTAAGGTTAAAGTTCATTCTATAGAGATAATTATATTTTTTTTATAAATTAAATAAAAAACTTTTTTTTTAATTTAGTATTAAACAAAAATATTATATTTAACTAATTAATTGAGTATCTTTCTTATTGTTTAATAAGTAGTTTATTAATGTATAATTTAAACTTTTAACTATATTACAGAAATTATATCTATTAAAGTTTAAAGTATTTTTAAATTTTTTTTATATATGATTTAAAGTAATTATATTAAAGTTTAAAATATATTATAAAAAAAAGTATTTTTATTTTATAATATATTAATAAAAACTTTTACTTGATTTTATTTTATATTTTATATATTAAATACTTTTTTTCTCTTTTTTTTAATCTTTATTTATTTATTAAAATATAATTCTTTAAATTATTTTTTAAATTTAATTTTAATTTTTTATTATTAAATATACTTTTTTATTTTCTAATATATCTATATAAATTAATATTTAAAATAAATAAATTTAAATAATTTATTTTTAATCTTAATTGTTTTTATTATTTATTACATTAATTTATGATATATTTGATTTTTTTAAATTTTAAATTTTTAAATTTTTTTTAATATTATTTAACTATTTAAAAATTTTTAAAAATTTATAATATTTCATTTCTGAAAAATAATTTTATAAGTTATTATAAAAGTCTTTTAAATTATATATAACTTATTATTATAAATCTCAGACTTTTTTCTAAAAATTTATGAAAATATCTCATACTCTAAATTTAATTTAAAATATTTTACTACTATATTAACTTCTAACTATTCTTATTTATTTTTTAAATTATTTAAATATATCAGTAAAAAGTTTTTTCTTATTAATTTATAGATATTTCTGAATATATATAGTTATTTTTCTTTCTTTAACAGTTCACTAATAGTAATATTTATTAATAAGATTAGATTTTTCTTTCAAGAATAAAGTTTATATAATTTATATTTTTTATATTTAAGCTTAATAGATAATCTTTAATTATAGTACATATTCTATATATTATAGTATAGTTGATTATATATGAATTAAAATTGATCTACTTTACTACACTTTAAAAATTAGTATAATTAAATTTTCAATCATCTTTATATATTCGCTGCTTATTCATTTCTCATTCTAATTCTCAGTTTAGTATTTTTATCACAGCTTTCTAGTTAGTTAGATGAATTGAAGCTTTTCTCTTATTATCATTCTGACTCTAGTTAAGTTATAATATAATATTAAACTTCTCTTTCTTAAAAAACTATAAAGATTGAGTAACAGATATATATATTTATATTCATATTTATGTGAGTTTATTAGTAGTTGTAACTATACTAAATGCTTAAATCTATATCTATATCTATATCTATATCTATATCTGTATTTATGTCTATATGAGCTTTTCAGTGATTCTGACTATGCTGAGTGCTCAAAACCTTTGTTAACTTTTTATTCTTCTTCTTACCTTTGTTATGAAAGCTTCTCTTACTGCTCTTCACTAGAAATTGAGGTGTGCTATCTGTCAGAGGATTCCCCGGCTACCTGAGATCATGTACACTTATGTATTTATTAGTAACTAGCTAACTTACTTAAAGTCCTATAAAACAACAAGATTGATAACAATCCTCTAATAAGTTATGAGACTTTTGAATTAGAGGTCTTTTGCTGCAAACAATGTGAGGAGAAGCTGCAAACAAATAGCTATGAACAAATAGCTATGAATAATATAGAAAAATATATAAACAACAATTAGACAATATTAATAATCAATCTACATTCAAGTAGAATGTTAGATTTGACAGAAGAATGCATGTTAAAAAGAAAACAAAACTGAGAATCTAAGAATAAAACCTCATAGAATAGGACTTTAGAGTCTACAGATTCACTGTCTATATTTATTACAGTCTGTAGAAGTGCTCTTGAAGTATTTAAAATAGACAAGACAATTCTGGAGGAATCAAATGAGTCTAATAACACATACAAAGATCTAGTTGATAAAATGTCAGAGAATATTATTGAATTTAGTGATCAGATATCAGGAATTAGTAAAGAAATTCTGATGAGATTAGAGATTGCAAAACTTCAACAAGAAGTTGAAATGATGAAAGCTAGCAGAGAAGCATTTATTATTAATGCTATTGACAATGAAATAAGTAAAGATCTTGCAAAATATCTATAGAGAAAAGATAGAACTACTATCATAATAAAGATCTTGACTGAATTTTGAATCAAATGAAATACATCAAGAAATCTGTCATTCTGACTGATTTCATAAACTATTTAATATGAAGAGAAGAGATGATACTGATTACTAAGCAATTTGAAATCAATGATATTCTCAATAAGAAGTAATCTGCTTTAAAAAATGATGTCAGTATGAATATATAATATTTGTAAACTGAAAGAAATATATAACTCTATAATTATATATTGTTTTCAATCTCTTTATAAGTAAGATTTCATTTTATGATACTGTTAGACCATCAGTTATCAGTATATATTCTATGAAAAAAATACTATATGATAAAGATAACTTACTCACTGAAGAAGATACAAGATATTGAATAAGAATTATAAATGACACTACTTATTTTATATGAATTATTCTGATTGCTACAAAAGCAGAGATCATATCAGTGCTCATAAACTTCATTGATATGATTGAGATAATATCTCAATAGTCTATAGAGACTCTGTACTGAGATGATGATGAAGAGTTCAAAAGTGATGATCTCAAGGTGTTTTACAAGAATAAAAGAATAGTGTATGAAGTGACAATTTCAAATATATCTCAATCAAATGATTCTGCAGAATATGTGAATTGATTAATAATAAATAAGATAAGAAGTTCACTATTAATAGTGAACTTATCAAAGAGCTTTAAAGTAAAGTAATGCAGGTAGCTATAATGTTGATAAATATATTCTCTATATCAATAAAGATTTTTGACTGCAAAGATGATAGTTTATTGACATCTTTTGAAGTCTGAATAAAGATTCAATCATCAGCTCATTAAATCTACAGATGAGACTGCAAGATATATAAAAAGAATCTAAAAATGATAAATAAACTTGCAGATAGGACAGATAGCAAGAAGTAATGATTGATAAGTTATCAACAATTGCATTAATATTATATATGAGATTCAAAAGAATATAAATTAGAGATTACAAAGAATATTATCTTTGATTCTTGTCACAAAATCTATTTCTATAAATACTATAAGTGAAGCTGTTAAGATGATGAGAGAAGATATTAAACTGTCAAAGAAATTAAATATTGTTGACTCTATGAATGACTAATATCATTGTCTACTAGAACAACTAGCAAAAGATAAATCAGAAATTCTGAAGATGTTGATTAATGATGATCTGAAAAATATCATTAATTCAATCTATCTGTTTAATGAGACAGAGCTAGTCAAGAATAATGAATCTAAGATACCTGCTAGTAACACTGATTCTGTCCTGAGCATGTTTATGAATCACTCAAATAATCTGGTAGAGGTGAAGAAGAGCTTAGATTGAAATCATTGACTTAAGATAATAAGAAAAGAAGTCAAAACATTTGAGAATAAGAAAATATACATTATTATTGAAAAGATACCTGAGATGAATATCTTGATGAGTAAATGAGTATTTGACTATAAGTTGAATAATAGAGATGAGATAATTCATTTTAAAGCTCACTGAGTAATTAGAGGATTTCTGCAGCAGCAGAACATTCACTACTTCAAGTTCTATGTTACAGTCATCTCAGAGTATACAAGTCACTCTCTATTCACTTTATTAACTGTCAAAGATTGGAAATCAAAGTCAATTGATTATGTGTTAGCATTTTTGAATGGCATATTGCCATAAGATGAAATAGTTTATATACAGTTATCTAGATGTATTAAATATGGAAAAGGGAGACTGGTGAGCTTTCTTAGACAGAGCTTGTATGGCATGAAGGAAGTTGCAAGGACCTGATATTTTGTGATAACAGAGCACATCACATCATTGAAATTCAGGATTTCAAAATATGATGAAGGATTTCTATTTCATCCTATCTGCAAGATCTACTTAACACTGCATATTGATGATTACAGGGTTACAGGCCCCAAAGAGGCAGAATTAGATTAAGTGTTAAGTGAGATATGGAAGAAATTTGACACAAAAGATATTGAAGAAGACAAGTCTTATCTTGAGATGGAAGTCAAATGCAGGCCAAATGGTGACTTAGCAGTCTCACAGATCCACTATATTGAAGAGATCCTTGAAGATTTTGGGATGAATAAGGTTAACCCTGCTGGCACACCTATGATGGCAGGTATACAACTTGAATTCACCCCAGAGGGGGACGCCAGATTGGAAGATGAGTTTACAGCTATGAGATATCATCAGGGGCTTGGATCACTTGTATTTATTAAGTAGCTAGCTAGCTCGCTGAGAGTCCCACAAAACAACAAGGTTGATAACGGTCCTCTAAGACTATCCAGGAGCTTTGTCATCAAAATCAACAGCTGTGAATGGCTCCCAATCTCAATCTCAATCCTGTCCGAAGCCCTTACTGCCAGACCTCAAACGAATCCCCAGCAGCCTATATCACTAAGTTGAACGCATTCCCTATCCTGAGGCCAGAATCTTCAAAGAGATCTCAATTCCGCCGAAGGCTTCAGTATGTCAATTCAAATTCGTCTAGCTTAGCAGTTTAGCCTCCTTTGGACCAACAAGGAATTCCTGCGCGTTGTCCAGCAATTAGCTTCTAGTTCCTTCTATTCATCTTTGCCGCATGCTTCTCAGCTGATCGCCGGCCGTTCGAAAGCTCAGCTTGCTTCGATAGCCCAGGTCATTCAATAGCCCAGCTTGCTTCGGTAGCCCAGCTCGTTCGATAGCACAGCTTGTCCAATGGCCCTGCTTGCATCGATAGCCCAGCTCGTTCGATGGCCCAGCTTGTTCAATAGCCCAGCTCGCTCCACCCTGATCACCATGACCCTATGAATCTAATCCAGATCCAACTTAGTGCTCTTGACCTTCCGCATGATTCTCAACCACACGCTCTGCAGACTGTTGCACTGTTGCGTACGTTGTGGATCTCATGGTCATTGAGTTGAAAACTGTCATTTCCATCCACATTCTCCTAAGCCCTATCGCCGTCAAATCACCAAACGAATCCCAGCCTCTAGGCAAGGATCTGATGACGAATTTGATGTTAAGCTAGCCGGTCTATATTTCGACCAGACCTTTTTTCGACCACCCTATCCAAAGCAAACCTCCTTCCTATTTAGGTAAATATTTAACTACAAATTCAATCTAATTTCAAACATGCAGGCTTCCAGACCTGCTGCTAAAACTGCTGCTGCTGCTTTTTTACTCTCAGTTTCTGGCTTCTGTAGTTGTTTCTAGTCTCTAGAGTAGCAGCTTCCTTTTGAGCCTTCTTAATCCTTTCTATATAGATAAACTGAGTATTTGAATCAACTTTTATCTTCTTTTTAGCTTTTGACTACTGTAGGGTCTTTAGTTGATTAGAGAGTTTAAAAATTATAGACTGACTGATAGCTTGTAGAGCATTTAACTCATTAATCATTTTATTAACTTTGCGAAGAAAAATTTACTATTTTTTTGTAAGAATTCTCTTCTTATTCAACTGCTGCAGAGTCTTATATATATGTTTAGAATCTCAGAGAGTTATAAGCAAGAGATCTTGCAGTTCAAAAAATAAAAAGATTGTAAATGCCATTAACTTAAAGTTAAATTGACTCTGATCTCAAATTTAAGAGAAATCTAATCTTTTGAAACAATTAAATAACACTGAATCAGCTACTTTTCACTTTTCATGTATATTATAAAATTCTAATATCTTTGAATGTACTTATTCATAAATTTATATGAATCTTCTTTTCTTTATAGAAGTTGTATTATTCAAATAGCTTAAAATAATAATCTCAGTTGTATAATAACTTTTTATGAGTAAAAAAACTTTAAAATTCAATAACTGAAGAACATGAGATATATAAGCAGATAGAAATAGTAAATAAATTAAAATTATATAATATTTC